ATATATATATATATACATATATATATACATATATATATACATATATATATATATATAGTCGATGAAAGAACCCGACGGTGCCGAGTTTCCGAGTGGCGTTTTAAGGAATTTCGCTTGCATCGCGAAAAAGGACGAACGAAGATTCTCCGCCGACCTCGAAACGCATGAATAACGATGAACGGTTCGTCAGGTACGAGACGGGGAATCGCTTGTTCCGCTTCCGGTGATACCAACCGAGAGAATTCTGCAGAGCGAAACGATAATTAGGAGGAATCGAAGTGTGATATTTTCCTGTGAGTCGCGCGCTAGAGCAACGTCTTCACGCGTATTTCTTCACCGATTTGTTCCGTCTCTTTGCCTAACATATTTTTTTTTTTGTTATTAGTATCTGTGCCAGATAGAAATGTGTGTTATAGAAAAATGCTCAATTAAGTGTTGATTCTAATTTAATCCTTCGTCCGTGGACTGGGTCTTCCAGACCCACTCAAAAATTGCGCGTCGACGTTTCTAGAACAAATTGGTTGTTTTTGCGAAACGCTTATTATCTTCTAGAAATTACTAGAGATTTTTTCAATTTGTTTTTTTTCTTTTTTTTTTTTATCGACGCATGGGTCTCACAGACCCGGTCTACAATAGATTTTTTTTTAAGATCTACAGGCGAAGGGTTAATGACAAAACTCTTGTTGATGGAAACGTACCTCTTGTTGTTCTTTGATATTTACTCCAGGTCTGTGAAACGTCTGAGTTTTCTCATTGTCCAGCAGATATTGATAAACCTCGTGATCGTCCTTGTACAATTTGACCGAGTAGAGTCGACTTCCGCCCAATATTTTCCAATGGCACCTCAGTTCGATCGTGGCATTCACAACAGCTTCGTTGGGCATATAAAAGTCCACGTTGATGTCGTTGCCTACAAAAATACAACAAACGTTTCTGGCTACACACACATTTGCAAAAAAAGATATAATAAGTAAATTAAAATTTGATCGCGGATATCTGAACACAATACGCACGGCGGAGAATTTAACCCCTTCGATAGGGCGCACGTGTGCCGCGGAGCGTCACTGACGGTCTTTCGTCGCGTACAAGTTACATTCGACGGTTGTCGACTATAGTCGACGATAGCACCGAAGAAGAGGAATCTATTTTCTCGGGTCGGCAAAATCGATTTGTTATTTTTTAAGTTATTCGGAAAACAAGTAGCGTTTTTTTTTTAACTCTTTCGTTACCGCGCTTTGAATATTTGTTTCCGATATACTCCATTCAGTGTCTTTAAATTTCGTCGTTCACCGCGTAGATCGCGGTTGAACTCTTGTCGTAAGCGGCTGTATCAAAATCTGCCGTTGCGAAAGAGTTTTAAATGAAACACTTAAAAGACTTTTATCGTGCCGACCAATATAATTAAGCACTTGTAAATGCTCACGTACGATGCTGTTCGCTGGTTTTAGTAATCCGCGCGATGACTCTCTCATGTGTAGGACATCGCGGGAAAAAAAATGTTAAATTAAATCTAAGTAGATCTAATTTAATGAGATAAATCTAACAAGATAAAAACAATGAAAAAATAGATCTAAGTAGATTCGAATTAGATCTAAATAGGTATAAGTGGATTTAGGTAAATTTACACTTTTATTTATCACAGTAAATCTACTTCAGAGATCTATTCAGACCTACTCTACTATATTAGATCAACTCAGATCTGCTCAGATCTGCTTAGATCCAAGTAGATCTGAGTTGATTTAAAGTTTCATTTAACGGTAAATTAACGTGTAAATTTACATAAATCTCTACTTATATCTATTTATATCTATTTAAATCTATATCTATTTATCTACACAGAAAAAAAATGGAGTTGCTTCAATTAAAGTTGACGTCACGGGCTGCCACAAAAATAAATAGTTCATTCAATTGCATGTGCGATTAATTTAATGTCTAGATTCTTAAAGCAACTATCTGCTGTGTATAGTGCAATAATATTGATGTTGCTGATCAACAGGATATATTTCAATTAAACTAATACTGTTGATTCAACATCATTTTTTTTTTCCGTGTATATCTATATCTAAATCTATATTTATCTATATCTTTATCTAAATCTATATCTATATTTATATCTATTTAAATCTATTTTATATCTATTATATATTTCTTATCTCGTTAGATTTAAATTACATCTATACTTAGATTTTATTCATTTTTTCCAGGACTGTTTGCGATAATGCTACCTATCGAAAAAATATCAACAAACTTTTCGAACTAATTAATATTCGTTATGCAACGTGATCTCTAATCTCTTGATCTAAAGATTGTGAAATCGAACACAGCGTTCTGGAAAAGTTCGCAAGAAAAAATAAATCGATTTTTATGAATCGCGTTTTCTCCCAAACTCGTTTCAATTGTCGAGCACGAATGGGGCTTCTAATCTTGCATGCGCGTTTCGAGCTTATATTTCGTTAATCTGCGCCGGGGAGAAGCGACGTTTGCAGCCCGCAGTCGCTTCGCAATTAACGCTCGCGTCTGTCACTGTTAGGTACTGGCGGTAAAAGGGTAGCGTGTGTTAAGCGCGAGAATAAATACGCGGTTACGAGAAGAAGAGTCAAGCGAGGTCGAGGCGAACATCACCGCGAGTTTCGCGCGGCCGATCCCGAACTTCTCTCCGAAACTCGAAACGAATGCAACTTTGCTGTGCATACATAGATAGTAGAACTTGCGCATAGAGTTATTGCGATATTGTAGAATAATGTTCCCGCCAGCTGGATTCAAGAGAGTTTACAAGTTTAATAATAGAAAGATAAGAAAAGTTTGTTATTTCAACAAAATTTTTATATACACGTGTATATGTTTAAAAATGGCACAAAATTACAATCAATTATATACATAATTTAAGTAGTGAATATTTTTCACTCTTCGTCGCGGACAGACTGGGTCTCTCCCACCCAAAACTTTCAAACCGGTGTCTCCGGTAAACTAATTAATTTTTTTTAACGCTTATATCTTTGAAAATACTAGAAATTTTTTCAAGGTTTTGGTTTTGATCGACGCGGAATTGTTCAAACTTTTGATTAAAAAAAAAAAAAACTTGAAAAAATATTGATATTTCGCGAAAATATTTGATTTTAAAATCGCGTGGGTCTCACAGACCCAGTCTGTCCAACTAGCAGACGTTCTTGAAGAGTCTGTCGTTCACGAAGAGTTGATATGCAAATGTTATCGGAAGAAAACGGGGGGATTATATGGGACGAGCGATAATTTTTACGCAAATCTTTAGTTCCACGAAAACGTCAGCCGGGAAAGTGCAGTCGGGAAATTTACTCGAAACTGTTAACGATCGCGCGAACGTTAACCCGGCCGGATGGCTCATAATACAGGCAGGTATCGGGTTAATTTGGAGAACCAAGCGCGCGAGCGGATGGAGATGGAGCCGCGTTAGGTAGGTAGGTAGGTAGGAAAGTGCGCGGTATGAGGATCACAGGCGTTGTTGGGTTTAAGTGCGAAGACCGTTGTCGTTAAAGGTCTATCGACCGAAATGCAGAGAGATCTCTCGCGCTCTCGTGGCCCTCCCGGCATTGCTCGGCCAGTGTCCGCAATTTACAGTTCCGCGTTCTAAGATTTAATGAGGCGCGAATTTCGGCTTGCATAAGGCCTCAAAGAGCAGAGTCGACTCTCTCTCTCTCGTAAAGCTCACGCGGTCCATATTTGCGTCCGTGAATTATGATCCCGACGCGGATGTAGGCTCGTTGGTAGATAATAAATCTCTCTCCCTTCCTCCCCTTTTCTTCCTCTCTCTTTAAACGGGAGGAAGTTTATATGGACTTCTCTATATGTTGACGCTGCAAATATGTGTGATGCCACGCTCCGCAATTATTATATATATTTGGTGTCTCAAAATCAAATTCAGCTTACATATAATGTGGTACTTGTATACGCATAGATTCGTAATATGGAACACTGCGCTGACGGGATTGGCCTAACCGTCGGTGTCAGCGGCAGGTGCTTCCGATGCCGCGGTTTGCGTTTCGCGACGTGCGTTTTCGAACGTGTCTCCCCGCCTCGCGCGTGTCATCTCGTTCTCTCTCTCTCTCTCTGTCTCATTCTCTCACACTCTCTCTCTCTCTCTCTATATATATATATATATATCTCTCTCTCGTCCGCGCGTCGTCAATTTCCGTCGTTATAACGACCGAGTCGTTACCTTGCCAATGGAGTTTGACATCTCATAGCTGAGACTGCATCGCGGACGTTTCCGTGCCATTTATCAACCGCACCTGGCGTATTGAAAACTGTTTCACTGCGACGAGAACGTGCGAAAAGGAAGACGCCGGAAAGTGTGCCGCCAATCAATTTTAGTCACCGTGGCTTATTTCAATTAAAGAGGAAAAACTTTAATTTTACGCATCACGCGATATATATACGTGATGTCAATTGCGAAGTGTGAAAACAAATTATTATTATTATTATTATTATTATTATTATCGAGAATAATAAAATCAATTTTTTTTATTGCATCGTTTATTCGAGAGGTTTTTTTTTTTATCTTAAAGAAAATATTTGTCGCGATAAAGAAAATTATAATTCTTCGCGATCTCTTGATGGGAATAAAAACGTCGAGAAATATCGCCGTCGATCTTTAACGTGTTAAGAATCCATTAAATCGGAATGAGGTACTTGTGAAAACTTATTGAAAGATAAGACGGGGGGGAGAAGATATTATAATGACACTTTTCGCAAGAATTCACCGCAGTCGCGAAAATGAAGTAGCTGGGAAGAAACCGTGAGAGACAAAAGCTTCCTTAAAACGCATTCAAAGTGACGGCAGTCTGTTATCCGCGTGTTCTCTCGTCCGCGCGCGCAATTCGCGTAAAGCCCCCCCTTTTTCCCTCCCTCCCTCCCTCCCTCCTGCCCCCTTTCTCAACCGTCATTCGTTAGTTCCGCCGCGACAAAGACGGCGCATTACGCAAAGGAATTTGTCCGATTGTCACGATCAAAGTCGTTCTCGCGAGAGCCGACCCTCATATTGCCCTCTCTCTAGATTTCTCTCCGCATTCTGGACTCACGGTGGGAATATTTCTTGCTCATCTCTCGCGAACGTTAAAGCTAAGTCTTTCAAACCGTCCGCCGAGTCTTTCAGACGTTTCCTTTCGAGTGTCTGATCTCCGCTCAGGATTCCATTCAAGTCATGCAAGGCTCCTCTCCGTGAATTGAAATCGAATGCCTGGGCTAACTCTTTCTCTCTCTCTCTCTCTCTCTCTCTCTCTCTCTCTCTCTCTCTCTCTCTTTCTCTCTCTTTTTCTTTCTCTCTTCGTCCTTTCCGACGATCCTTCGTCCTCTCGCACGTCCGTACCGCCACATTCGCATGAAATTTATCTCCAAACAAGGCAGACATTCGCATCTAGATTTGCGATTCCTCATCCGCGAAGCAGAAAAACGTTGCGTCAAATCAAAAACGTTTGCCCCCGATGCAGACTTTTCTTTCTCCCGCTTCGCGAAACGAAATAATATTTCCGACAAAAGAGAATCGTTTTCTCTGTATTTTGTTTTTTTTTTTTTTTTGTCTTTCTTCATTTTATCTACATCAAATATTATTACCCCGACTTCTGAAATAGTTATAGACGCTTTCACTCTACGCACACTACGAGTAAAATATTTCATTAAATACTCATACCTGTTTTCATTACGTGTATTCGCGTGTGCCATTTCATATTCTTGTTTAATTTTTTTTCAACGTCGTATTTAACATAAAAAAATGCCTTTGATTGTGAAATGTCAAATGAAAATTCTGGCAACGCAAAATTCACTTGGCGTTAAGGGAGAGAAAATCTGCCTTTTTTTTTTTTTTTAATTTAATTTCTTGCAAATGTACGGAAACAGTTCGTCGAAATCGAAGAGTCGATCGCGAATTCGCAGCATGCT